TTTTTAAGGTATGTGATAAACGTTTTTGTACAAAACAAGAAGTAACTAACCATGAAGCTGTTCATTCATCGTTGCGTCCGTATAAATGCGACAAATGCGATAAGACTTATAAAACTAAGCCAGAACTAAGTCGCCATTATAAACGTCGACATTCTGATTCTGAGAAACCTTATAAGTGCCAAGTACGTTTTCCGATTGTATTTGTCAAATATATTTCGTCTTGCCTTTTCAAAATGACACTGTGTCTTATTCTTTTTAAGGTATGTGATAAACGTTTTTGTACAAAACACGAAGTAACTAACCATGAAACAGTCCATTCATCGTTGCGTTTTTATATATGCGACAAATGCGATAAGACTTATAAAACTAAGAAAGATCTAAGTTGCCATTATAAACGTCGACATTCTGATTCTGAGAAACCTTATAAGTGCCAAGTACGTTTTCCGAAAGTATTTGTCAAATATATTGCGTCTTGCCTTTTCAAAATGACACTGTGTCTTATTCTTTTTAAGGTATGTGATAAACGTTTTTGTACAAAACGAGAAGTAACTAACCATGAAGCAGTTCATTCATCGTTGCGTCCTTATAAATGCGACAAATGCGATAAGACTTATAAACTTAAGCAACATCTATATCGACATTATAAACTTCGACATTCTGATTCTGAGAAACCTTATAAGTGCCAAGTACGTTTTCCGATTGTAGTTGTCAAATATATTGCGCATTGATTTCTCAAAGTGACAATGTGTATTATTTTTTTTTAGGTATGTGATAAACGTTTTTGTACAAAACGAGAAGTAACTATCCATGAAGCAGTTCATTCATCGTTACGTCCGTACAAATGTGACATATGCGATACAGCTTTTACAACTAAGGCACATTTAAAACGCCATATCAAACGTCATCTTAAATAACCTTATAGGTGCTAAGTACGTTTTTCGAATGTAGTAATAGAATATATTGCACTGATTTCTTAAAGTGAAGATAATATGTATTAGACTTTTTAAGGTGTGAAATAAGTTTTTCAAGTCACAAATACAGGCAAATAAACGTAGAATTTGTGTTCACTACACATGTAATATATGCAAAATAAGTTTAAAAAAAGAGTACTTTTTTGAGAAACAAGATGTATCACGAAGAAAACAATCAGAAACGGGAAGAAAAGGTATTAAAGTTCCAGTGTAGTTTTTAATAATAACTCTGAATAAATTATGTGATGCTCCAAATGTCAAAAATAATTAGAGAATATCAACTAATGAGAGCATATAAACACGGTTGATGTAGTGTTGAGTAATTAGTATTTTAGTATTCTATTAACATTATTCTTGATTGACGTTTCGACCGACGTATTTGGTCTTTTTCAAAATCTTTATATAATAACAAATCGCTGAAATCACGTATGGTCAGTTCTGTTTTTTAAAGGCAAAATCATAGTAAGTGGTTATTTGAGTCAACGCACCGACGATCATGTCTTTACAAAGTGATAACAGTTACTGGAATCAGTTGCTCTTATCACAATAAGTTGCTGGTATCACTTTGTAAAGACAGGATCGTCGTTGCGTTGACTATTCGTAATAGATAGGTATGTATGTATATACATTTAATATATGTACTAATATTATAATACCAGTTGTTTCTCTTTACATTATGTATTGTATTATATATATATATATATATATTTATACATATACACATATAAATATATATGTATATATATACATATACACGTTCGTACATATATATACACATTTAATATTTTTGTGTAATATATGTTTATAATATATATTACTTTATTTTTAAATACATACACTTTGATATCGCACTGTGATATCGCACATATATAGTAAAGCTTATTATTTGTTGCAGGATACTGTATTAACTGTTTCTCTATGATAAGTATATCGAAATAAATATATATGTCTATTTGACTCAGTTCACATTAGTGAATCCGAACTTATGTACTAAATATACAGTGTCCCGTAATGATTAGTAAACTGTGCAAGNAATGAAAAAAGGTAAAATTTGGAACAAAAATTTTATTTTTCATGTTTGGCTTAGACCAGTATTTATTTACTGAGGTTTTAACAATTAAAGTTCTTCAATGGAATACAGCGCGTATACAAAGTATGCAGGAGCGTTACGCGCTGTGCTACTCCTTGCAATTGTCCCGCGATTACATTGCTTCTTTTAAAACTTTATTCTACTATGTCACACTATATAATACATGAATAAATAAATAAAAACGGTTAAAAATTAATCAACTAAGTGATTTATTTGAAAAAAGTAGTGATACATTGTCCGAAATTAATGAATACAAAAATAATTAATGTTAATCGTGTCTATTTACGTTTGTATTATTTCAAAAAATAGATTAATTTAAATTAGAATTACTCAGTTATTTATAATCAAAGTACATTAATTTAAATAATAATTACTCATTTATTTATGTATGAGTTACTTTTTTAATAATAAAAACGTAAAAAGACACATTTAACATAAATTGTTTATGTATTCAGTAATTTCGGACTATGTATCACTACTGTTTTCACATAAATCACTTAGTTGATTACTTTCTATTTGTCTTTATTTATTTATTCATGTANTATCCAGTTTGACATAGTAGAATAAAGTTTTAACAGAAGCAATGTTAGCGGGACAAGTGTAAGAAGTAGCACAGCGCGCGANGCTCGTGCATACTTTGTATACGCGCCGTCTCATTCGAGAACTTTTATAGTTAAAAACGCGGTTAATAATAATCTAAGCCAAAAATGAAAAAGGATTTTTTAAATTGCTTTTAAAAGTTCGAAATTCACTTCCTGCAAGGTTTACTACTCATTACGGGACATTATGTAGACGAAGCTTTGCTGATTTCAACGACATTCAAAAATGCATGCAAGAATATACACATAAATACGAAATCTTTTAGTATCAGAAAATTTTATGTATTAAAAGAGACAAATAGAAAGTTTTATGTAACAAAACAGACAAATAGAAAATTTTATATAACAAAAGAAACTAAAAACCAATAACATCCAAAACTTTACGGAATAACATTGTATGACGCAACATAAAAATATTGTTCTTTTTGCACAAATTTAAATCTTAAAATAAAGTAAATATTATCCAACAATTATTTCTTCAGCGAATATTATAAAAATACTTGTGTGTAAAGTGTGTGTATGTCATGCAACCCTCTACTTTAAATACAATTTTTACGAAAATTTTGTATTTTAAATACAACGTGCGAATCTAACAATTATAGAAAATAATCGCGGAATATTTATTGCGCTAATAATAATAATTTCTGCGCAGGCGAAGTTCTTGTTCATAACCACCTAAACAGGTTATCACGCAAAAAGACATCTGCATTCGCTGATCGCAAACATATCAATTGTAACAACCGAAGTAAAACGTGATATCGTTATTGTGATTACTGCCGCGAGTGAATTTCATAAATTAGCAATCAAGAGCTCTGATAGAGCGGTACGAGACAAAAGAGCGGACATTAATGTAAATATAAATTCGCGTTGTATAGGTCGCGTGGGCTCGTTTCAACCCTCCACGAGCTGATGTATCGAGATGTGGTGTGCGAAAAGGCAGCGCTCGCCACTTAAATAACGAGTGCGTAACGGTAAACGCGTGTTTATCAAGATCACTTTCGATTTCATGTACGCATCTTTTTTTTATGCACGAGGTTGTCGTAACGTGTGGATGTCTTTCTATTATTTTTGCAATATTTTCTTGTTCCGTAATGCATTTTCGTATTCTGAGTTTCCAAGTCGAAATTTAGCGTCTATAGATTGAACTTCGATTTTTCTTTTTTCATGTAGGAGTAAGAAAGAAAGTAGATCCTACTTTGACGCTGCTATACGTCTGAAATTTCCTTTTTTCCTGCTAAAGTTTTAAAATAGGGTTCAATTCTCAGATCAGACTGCGCATTGCAGGCTCTGATAGGCTCTGATAGGCTCAAAGTAGGAGTAAGAAAAAAAGTTGATGCTACTTTGAGGCTGCTATACGTCCGAAATTTTTTTTTTCTTGTAAAGTAGGGTTTTAATTTCGACTCGAGTTTCCGAGTCGAAATTTATTGTCTACATTGAACCTCAATTTTTGAAAAAAGGAAATTTCGGACGTATAGCAGCGTCAAAGTAGCATCTACTTTTTTTCTTACTCCTACTTTGAGTCTATTAGAGCCTATTTTGAGCCTATCAGAGCCTGCAATGCGCAGTCTGATCTGAGAATTAAACCCTACTTTAAAACTTCAGCAGGAAAAAAGGAAATTTCGGACGTATAGCAGCGTCAAAGTAGGATCTACTTTTTCTCTTACTCCTACATAAAAAAAAGAAAAATTTAGGTTCAATGTAGACGCTAAATTTCGACTCGAGTTATTATATAATTAAAGTTATTAAGATTTTTTTATAAAATAAAAGCGAATATAACGATGCGAGAACGAATTGCGAGATCGACTCGCGCTGTAACAATATAAAATAGAATATAATTTATTTTTACAGTATAACACAAATAATATATTGCAACTCTTTTTACTTAATATTTTTTACCCACTGTACATTTTTTATCTTAATTCCATTCAGTTCGGAGTGACAGTGTCCAGATCTAGATAGCGTCAAAATTTAAAATAGGCAACACTGTAGGCGATCGAACACACCGAACGAAACGTGAAACGTGGAAACTGCGTGACCAGTTTGTTGTCAGCATTAGTTTTGCAATAAGAGAGACATCAATTTCAAAGAAACCATCTGCGTAATAGCACACAATGTCGCCATTGCGGACAATGTTGCTGACAGCAACTTAACGTAGAAAAGTAAATTCACTGCGTTTTACAAAATTGCGTGCATTAGACATGTAGAGACGGTGTTTGATAAGCAGGTATACATCGAGTTAAATAAAGAATGAAGCGCGATAGTTGCACCACGATGATGTTGCTCGCAACATTGCGCGCCGGTGTCATTTGATAGAGTACAGGGAAACATTATTCCGAGCCGATGGCGACGAAACAACAAAACAATAGCATCGCGTACGCGATGATACCCTTCAAATTGTTAACGTGGCCTATCGGCGTTTGGCCGCTGCAGGTTTACAACCACTTTTCGTTAATACGATGGATCGTGGCCACCTGTTGCTTGGTACGCAATTTTTTGAGCTCGATATATTGTTGCTCTTTGCGCTCGTGTTTTTTTAGTTTTTTTTTTTTGTTCAAGAACGTGAGTGTTGCAGAAAAAAAATACTTTGATCCGTTACAAATTACAAAAAGTTTGTTAGAATATATTTTTGTTATCACTAACGCGCTATTTTGCGTAGAAACACGCGTGAAGAAAAGATTCTATTTCGCAAACGTTTTTCAAAATATTACTATAAATTAGTTTGTTATAATACTTTTATGTTTTTTTTTTCTTCTGTTTTTGAGATTTTAATTATCGGATATACGCTTACAAATCAAAACCTGTTATACAATATCTGTAATTAAATTTCATTTGTTACGAAATGAGTTCCTGGAACTGGAATTGGACAATATTTTTTCTAGACGTCAAACGCTGCATGCAAAATATACCGTTTACTCATATCAACAGAGCATAATAGTGATCTTGCCGATCGTCGAGCTTCGGCTCGGTTGCACCGACGCGGAAAAGAACGTGGACTCTATCATGATGATCTCTTGCGGACTCCTAGCTATGCTGAAGACGATATGGTTTCGCGTTTACGCGAACAATTTGACGGACAATCACAATTCCGCGATAAACGATTATCTCACGATCGAGGACGCGGATAAATGTGTTATCATGCGACGACACGCGTTCGTCGGGAGGATGCTCGCTTGCTTCATGATATGTTTCTCTTACGTCGCGAGCGCGGTATTTACGTTGGTTTCTGTCTTAACCGACGAGGGAACCGCGACGAGGAACGTAACGATCGAAGAAGCGACGGAGGATTATCCGATTCCGTCGAGATGCACCTTGGAATATATCGACATGCCGTCGAGCATGTCGAAGTTCGTTCGATTTTTTGAATTCATTGTGCTCGTGCTCACAAGCACGAGCAACCACGGTAATAACACACAGTAATTCGCAATTATATAGGGTAAAAGAACCCAATTACTGTCACCTGTTCAATTACTGTCACCCTAAGCTATTTTATTTAAGATATTAAATAAATCCTTAAAAATTAACGTAGATGGAAGAAGGCAATGGGAACCAATTTATTTTGTATACTGCAATTGCCACATGTATTTTTATTAATATTTGTAGTTCCCACTGAAGATGACTAAAAAATATAGTCGAAACGTTTGGAACATACTTATATAAGTTGTCGTTAATTACATTCCAACCAGTAATTGGTTCCCATTGCCTTCTTCTATCTACGTTAATTTTTGAATCCGGAACCGGAGGTCACCCTCGATGTTGTGATTTCAAAATCCTTAAAAGTTATGCATAAAAAAAAAATCTAACATAGAATTTTAAGTGCAATTAATATAACAAAAAATCCAGCACTCAACATTCGCATCTCATTTCTTTCATTTTAGGAGTGACAGTAATAGCTCTCGCATCGTTCTTTTTTAATTACTAAATTTATAAATAAAAAAAAATAGAGATTTTGAGAGGCGGTATTATTTTGTTCCTTATATTAGAGACATCGAATAATACCAGATAAGAAGAAAAACACATGTTTTTGATAAACAAATAGTAAAAACAATTCGCTAACGCCAGAGTTTATTATTCAGGTGACGGTAATTGGGTCTTTTACCCTATAATTGTCCGATTTAATATTTGTGGTTTTATTGAAATAATTATTTTAAAAAGGCACCGACGCGTTGTTTCTCAACATAACGTTGCACGTTTGCGGCCAGATGAAAATTCTGAAAAACGACTTCAGCAATTTCAACGTTTCTAAATCGGAAGTTCGCGGTCGCTTTGTCGCGTTAATCGACAGACACAATCATCTGATAACGATGGCGAGTGAACTCGCCGAGACGATCAGTTTCGTCTTGCTGATGCAATTCTTCGTCAGCAGTATACTTTTATGTATAGTAGGTAAATACGTGTGTTTAGTCTGTCTTCAGTACACCGAAAAAATTGTATTCTTGTTTTAAGAAGATATCCCACTTACTTTAAGTATATTTTATACTAAAATAGGCGCCAAGAAGAGTTTCTTATTTTAAGAGGAAAATCCTCTAAATAGTAATATTGATAAGAATATATACTGATTAGAATATAAAAAGCCTCTATAGAAAAACATATATATCTCACTATCGAAAAAGACTATATTCTTAAATTAAAAATATATTCTTAAATAAAGAATATATTCTTAATTTCAGAAGAATATCATCTAAAATCTTAAGATCTTTTAAGTATAAAATCTTCTACTTACAAGAATATAATTTTTTCGGTGTATATTTGCAACGCGTGTGCGTGATAATAATAATATTTTAATATTCACGCGCAAATAAAAAATAAACCAATCACTAATGACAGCATACAATGTATAAAAAGTAAGAAAAAAAAAATATATATATATATATGGAAAAATATATTAAAGAGAAAACGATATTTATATTTTTTTTCAGGATTTCAATTAATTCTCGCGCTAAAAACTCACAATATCGGCATGTTGGCAAAAAGCGCCATGATACTATGTTCCTTTCTGTCGCAGCTGACGGCATATAGCGTCGTCGGTGACTACTTGAAGTCCCAAATGGAAGAAGTGGGACAGTCTATTTACCGAAGCAATTGGTACGATCTTCCCGCAATTGTCACGAGAAATCTCGTATTCATTATGATGTGGGATCAGCTTCCGATCAAGTTCCAGGCTGGTAACTTCATTGTGGTAAATCTGTCGACTTACATGAGCATTCTGAAGACCTCCGTTTCTTACTTATCCGTTCTACGCGTGATGGTAGACGCGTAGAAACAAACACACATCAGATATAAGCACAATAAAACAATTTTTTGTAAATTACATTTTTTTTTAATATACGTAGATAGAATCTCAGAGAAATTACCGAGCTCTCTGGTAGAAGAAATAGATTGTTGTTAATCTTTTAATAAAATTGCCAAACACACTTACGTACAATCCATAAACTTTTCGTTTACGACAATTCCGAAAATCTTTTTCGCAATAATCACACCGAAAAAATTGTATTCTTATTTTGAGGATATATCCCACTTACTTTAAGTATATTTTATACTAAAATAGGCGCCAAGAAGAATTTCTTATTTTAAGAGAAAAATCCTCTAAATAGTAATATTGAT